AGCTGACATATCAAAAAGTAAAATAACAAAAATACCGAACTCCAAGGACAATTTAAAACGAAAAGTCCCTTATCAAATAGTAAAATCAAAAGCTCAAACACATCAAACACATCAAACGAATTGAAAACAACTGTCAAATTCCTGACTTGGTACAGACATTTCCTCATGTACAAAATGGTGGACTAAACCTGGTTTTATAGCTAGCTAAACCTCTCACTTGTATGATTGTGTACTCAAAGCGTTTGAAGAACGTCATTCTAAAATTTAACATCACTAGAGATTTACATTACATATTATTTACAAATATCTTTATAACTTCATCTCATTTCAAAATTGCACACAAATCACGAATATCGCACTAAAAAAAATTAATTTCGAATTTTAAACTTCAGATTTTGAATCTTCGATGATCCTTTAATGCGTTAGCACCAATTATACATCACTTGCTTTTGTAACTATTATTGATATTTTGAAACAATTAAATATACGAACCGCGAATCCTTTGAAAGTGAAATTTTGAAACGAGATGAAGTTATAAAGATATTTTAAATAATAAATGATGTAAATCTCTAGTGCTGTTAAATAAGACAGAAATCGTTTTATGCAACAAAACTGAAAAAAACCCCATTATTGTGAAAAAAATTTATTCAAGAGTACAGCAATGGAAGAAATGGTCTATCAAAAATAGTTTGGTTAAATTGTTAATTATTGACATTATGAGAATTAGCTTCAATCGTGCGTGATATTGCTTTATATGAATGAAGTGATCATTTTTATCTAGAAAAGGCTTATATGTATATTTTGAAAGCCACAATAAATAAATTCTAACCACTACAAAACTTACTGGTACATAACGTAGCAACATCTTTTATCGGGTCTTTTCTTTATTTTTTGTTTTAAAAGACGCATAGATGTATAAGTAGCCAATAAACCTTACATTATAAAATATGGTATGCAACTTTGATGTAACGCAAATCATTAAACAAAAACAATCTTATCAAATAATAAAAAAAAAGATGATAAAAAATAAAAAAAACAAATAAAAGCAAATATTATGACTTAATTTTTGTTTTCTGTTATTTCAAATCTATTTTTCTTGTGAAATCAAGTGGATCAAGTGAAACGATTATTTGTACAAGCTTCAAAACAGAAACACCTATATGATTCCTGATATGAATTGAGCGTACATGCTAAACTATTGCGATTACATAATTACTTAATTCGCCAATGATTAGGTTGTTATATAACTATTTGTTTCTCTTTTTTCACTCGCAGTCCGTTACAACTATAAGCACTGGGGCCCGTTCAAAATATTTTCTTAATTTAGTAGATGGAATAAAATTTAAAAAACAAATGTATGTTTTAAAAAATATATTAATAATTAACAATCCCGGGCATAGTTATTAAAAGTAAACAATATTATTCTCTAAAAGTTATTCGTCATAGGAGACGTACTTCTTTTTAAAGTTTGAAGCTTATAATATGTTTTATTTCTATGTAGTATATTTTAAAAACAGAATAATAAATAACAGATGAAATACATAAAAAAATATTCCTCAGGCAATGTGCATTGTGATGTAAATAAAATTTTGAGTTAAGGTGGTACATAACACTACAGGGAGATAACTCTGTAAAAATCAGCTGAACGTTTTAATCACGTTCTATTGTTAAAGAAATATTAATCTTCTCAATGATCAAAATTAGTGTTTGTCAAACTGCTATATATCCAATGAAATTTTTCCGATAAAGTGTGTAGTTCAAGTTTTTTGAAATTTTTATATTTTTGTTAAAGGGTAAAAGTGAATATTTTGTCAAAATTTTATGAAAATTAAACGAGCCAAATTAATTTTAGTCAAAGTATTTGGTACCACCTTAAGACATAACTCTTTCATACTCTAGAATAAGAAGCAGTTATTCATCATAGAAGCAACGACACGTTTAATGGGGTTTGTATTTTGGCAAGTCCCAAGTGTAGTGAGTCTGTGTCTGAGGCAGGGATGGGACCAATCACTTTAAAAAGTTATAAGTCAAATTACTTTGTTAATTTAATGGTATCAATGGCATTACAATTACAACTAAATTCAAATGTAATCGATCACATTAGATTACTTTTTTTTTAAAGTAATCAGGATTACTTTGGAATACTTATGATTATGTTGTACACTGTGATAGTAAAGAAACTTTTATACACATTTTATCTTCACATAATAAAGCAAATTTGAGTGAAAAATTATGTATTTAATATCTTTAACATGTTATTAAGATTTTTTTACAGGAGCAGTGTATCGTTTGATAGCTTATAGCCATGTGTCCTTTATACATATTTTCTATTGCACTTTATTATCATCATCATTTTAATTTAGCCTATTGCATATTTTCAATTGACAAAAAGAACTGAACAAATGTTGATTAATTAATGATGAAGAAGTCTTATTGTATTTGGGGACATAATTGACATTTATATATAGATATAAGAAGATGTGGTATGAGTGCCAATGAGACAACTCTCCATCCAAGTCAAAATTTATATAAGTAATCCATTATAGGTCACAGTACGGTCTTCAACACGGAGCATTGGCTCACACCGAACAGTAAGCTATAAAGGGCCCCAAAACAATTACTAGTGTAAAACCATTCAAACGGGAAAACCAACGGTCTAATCTATATAAAAAACGAGAAACGAGAAACACTTATGAACAACATCAACAAACGACAACTACTGAACATCAGATTCCTGACTTAGGACAGGTGCAAACAAATACAGCGGGTTTAAACGTTTTAATGGTACCAAACCTTCACCCTTTTTCTGAAACAATAGTGTAACATCACAACATATATGCCAGTTTGATGTTCTTTAATGATCTACTTGCAAACTTTTTTCTGTTCAATTGGTATAGTGTCAATATATACTATAGTAAGAAATTTTTGTAATATTCAAATCAACAAAAGAAACGATTGTTTTATCGCTTATATCAGTTTGTTACTTTGATTAGTCTTCTTATCGATTTATGAGATTTGAACATCGGTACACTACAGTAATAACCGTTGCCTATATCTACAGAGTGTGGCCGTGCGTATTCGTTACTTGGGATTTTTCACTATATGTTTCATTTAAAACTACATTTTTTCAAAAACATTATTTTGGGGTCATTTCTGGTTTGATTTTAAGCAACTTGGTACCAATAGAAGCAAAATTTTCACAGGTGTATTTGTGTATCTGGTTGTATTTTTGGTGTGGATCATTTTCATTATCTCATGAGATATTTGTGTTCGGAAATTTGCTATATATTTCAACCAAATTAAATTGTAAAAAAATATTATATGTGTTCACATCAAGAGAAAACAAAAACAACTGAAGACAAAACTATGACCAAATAAACAAATATGCTTTAGACAATTCTCTCTTCGTCTTTTAACGCCTTGTTTGTTAAAATCCAACCAAAACTTTTGAAAAAAAATGTGTTTTTATATGAAATATATAGCAAAAAAATACTTTTGGCCATGTACTGTATATATGAAAATACTCTTTAAGAGAGAATTTAAATTTTCGTTTTAAAAATTGACGCTTATAACCGAGCGTCACGTTCAGGGAATTGTTAATAACGGCAGTATGTCGAATGCATCATTACGCGAAATTTGTTTTTTAAAAGTCACACGATGTCATTATTTCCCTTTTCGAAACCTTTGAAACTCACAAGGAATGCGATGCAACGGATGCATGAAAAGTATAGAAAATGTGAAAATATCTTGACTGATAAGTCGTTTAAGGCAGACAGCCAATACGGCCGAACTACTGCAAAATATAGTCAGGACAGCCGTATCCGGCCTAAATTACGTCTCTCGCGACACTTAGGCAAACCAATAACTGCTTAATTCTGACCAAAATGCCAGATGACGTTAACGTAAATCTGAACTCCGTAGTAGACGTTTTTGCAGCAGGCTAACCTCTAATGTCACGTGGCCCACTCATGTATCGCCTTTTTCAATCAGCACCAATAACCATAACCAGCATTGTCACCAGATTTATCACCTATCGAGCATTTACTGGATAAATTTTGTGACCGCAATTGCAAAAAAAAAAACGCACCAGAAACGATTGAACAGCGGCAAATGTATGTCTACTCTGGAGAAATATAACAACATACCACACTTTATCAATTTCCGTATTTGCGTCAAGAGGAGGTCATATCCGATATCAGCTAGAGCAGGCAAAATGACATCGCGTATTTGAATTTTTAACCGTCAAGTCTTCTGCATCATATGAGCTGCGTCGGATAGAAATCGACCTTATGCATGTATACATGTACTTGTATAAGACTTTGGTTGATTTTGAAACATTCATTTACTAAATAAAAGATGCATTTTGGTCTGTTTTGTAGGGTTCTTATGGCAATTCAATGTTCAAACAGTTACAGATTTTCCGTAGAGATTTATTTAACCCGAAATAGGTTAACAGATGTATTGATATTCATTTGCATAAGGTCGATTTCTATCCGACGCAGCTCATATTTTAAACATTTAATTGTGTTTGCCTTATTGTTAGTGATAACTTTTGTTATTGTTAGCTTTTTATTATGATTCATTTGCACAGTTGAAAAAAGAATGATTTCTAAAGTCGTGTATCGAGTCATTTATAGACTATAATATACTCGTTTTCCCTATGTTGTAAACTTTTTAGATTTATGCAATCGTTTTAGTTTAGGTTTTATATATGTGTGTTTGTGTTTGTTGCGGTGCATAATTTAAAACGGAAAGTCCTTTATCAAATGACAAAATCAAAAGCTCAAATACATCAAACGAATGGAAAACAACTGTCATATTCCTGACTTGGTACAGGAATTTCCTTATGTAGAACATAGTTGATTAAACCTAGTTTTATATCTAGCTAAACCTCTCACTTGTATGGCAGTCACATAGAATAGATATCCTTCAGACTAGTGTTCTGATCTTTTAATTCTTAGGAAAGAATTAACGGGATGTGTTCATTATTTTCATATCAGGTGGTAGACCTACTGACTGCTCCGAAATTCCCAATGGAAGTATCAGCGGAGTCTACAAAATCTTTGCAAACAACAACTGTGTATCTGTGTATTGTGATATGAAAGGCGATGGATGGACGGTATGTTTAATTTCTGTTTTATTGAAGTACTAGTTTTTCAAAGACTTGGACAATTCTTGAAACATAACTAGCATATAGATGATATTTAAAAAAAACTGTCAACAGATGTTTTAAGTAAACTTATTTTCAATTCTCACATGAAAGACATTAACTTCATTCATCAAAATGAATTACAACAAACGAACTTCAAGGGGACAATGCAGTTAACTTTTATTGTATTCGTTTATAAACTGTAACATTTTGTTTTCAAAATGAATGAATATCTAGAAAAGAAAAAAACTATGATCATTAACATTAAATAACACGTGCAAATTGATATTGTATGATGTGAATTTGTTTGAATATCATTCTATTATCTATTATCTATGTAAAAGGTGATCCAAAGACGACAAGATGGCTTAACAGAATTTTATAGAGACTGGTCAGACTATAAGAATGGATTCGGGAGTCTTACAGGAGAACATTGGCTCGGTAAATTTTTGTACAATTAACGCATTGATACTTGCAATTTTCGTTATCAAAAGATATTCAAGTAAATACTTCTTACTTTTAAGGATTCTAATGTAATCCTTAAAAAACTGTTAATTAAAAATGCCGCTTGCCTTCAAATTTTTATAAAGTAAAATTTCGAATGATAAAGGGGATAGAATATAAAGTACAAAGTGTATCCTCTTTCATAATTGAATTCCAAATACTTTTTCCATTTTTGATATTAATAAAACCATGTTAACTAATATATGATTTTGAAATAAGTAACTACCAGCTTATACTTGTATCATGTGGGCATTGAATAAAATCTAAAATAACTAAACTCATCGAACCTTTAAACAAACTTATTAGTAAGGGTTATCGTACCAATATTGTAATTAGATCTCTGAATATAGTTTACATTGGCACTAATATCGATTTTGTCATTAGCAAATTAAAACATAACTAAATTTGTATTTTCTTTTCAAACGGGATGTATAAAGACACACACACGTTCATTTTTATCTTTAAAGAAGTCACTCCTAACTATCCTACTACCTGTCGATACATTTATTTTTGGCATTGCACAAGTCATGTCTTCTTTGACTGTTCACGACGTTAAAATACTAAATCCCTGGGATGTGTTTTAGTTGATTTCAGTCTCTGATGCATGATTTTTTATTATTAATTGTTTTGGCTTTTAACTAGCTGTCAGTAACTGCGAGTACTCTCAAATCGTACTTTCTTGTTAATTTGACCTGTTGATACTAGTTGTAATACTTTTTTGTTATTTAATGTTTTAAAACATGGATCTTGTCTATATACCAGCTTTGATTATTTGGAATTACTACAAGTTTTCACTTCTTCGTACTATGAACATCAAAATTATTTCATTTCTCCTTAAATAATGTTCTTGCACCTGTACAGGAAGTTTTATCTAGCACTAATTGTATAGTTTTATTGTTGATATTCACCCCATATGTACCAAGTGTTAAATTAGTTTTATTGATATTAAAGAAATTTCTTGGTATTCCTAAACGGAAGATTTTATACACGCAGAAGAAGAAGTATACATTTCACAGTGGTATCATACTTTAACTTTGTTTCAACCTGTTTATTTACTTTTGACCTTAGTTATTTATCCCTTATAATTTTTATTAACTATGTATTTGCATTCAGGTATCACAGATCAAAGTTATTCGTTCATTGTGTGTTAATTTACGTTTTTTGATTGAGTTAAGCCTTCCAATTGATATTTTATAGTGTGTCTTTCTATGTTGTGATGTTATACTATTGTTTCAGAAAAAGGGAGAAGGTTTGGTACCATTAAAACGTTTAATCCCGCTGCAAATGTTTGCACCTGTCCTAAGTCAGGAATCTGATGTACAGTAGATGTCGTCTGTTTATGTAGTTCATACGTGTTTCTCGTTTCTCGTTTTTATATAGATTAGACCGTTGGTTTTCCCGTTTGAATGGTTTTACACTAGTAATTTTTGGGGTCCTTTATAGCTTGCTGTTCGGTGTGAGCCAATGCTCCGTGTTGAAGGCCGTACCTTGACCTATAATGGTTTACTTTTATAAATTGTTACTTGGATGGAGAGTTGTCTCATTGGCACTCATACCACATCTTCCTATATCTACATACAGAAATATTTTGACCTCATCAACAATACACCTATACAAATAAGTTTCAACGTTAGAAAAAATATATATCATATGTGAATACAACAACTGTATGGCTATAGTCAACCAATTATAGCATGTGATTTACATGTATATAAGGTATATTTAACTTTACTTTTATAGGTAACGACAATATATTCAATATTGTGAATGGAAAGTCTTATAAGTTGAGATTTGACATTAAAAACAAGTCGGGAGAATGGCGATATGCTCAGTATGAGATATTTAAAATAGCAGATGAGTCGGAAGAATACAAATTAACATTAGCAGGATATAGCGGGAATGCTGGTAGGCTTATACTTACTATCATTAACATATTGAAGGTATAGTTGAAAGCTTTTAATTAATAGGGTATAGAAAGGCATGGTAAGAGTGTAGGAAACGATAAGCATTGTAAAGCCAGATTACTGATAAGCGTGCAGCATGCTAATGATAAAGGGTACGAGAGCGCTTAAACACGGATTGACAATACTAAATGATGTGCATTTACAAATTTTTGAATCGACTAAAACGCAAAAGCTATTCGAGGGCCAAGACGTTAAAAGTACATTGAAGCACTGAAACGACATCTTTGATCCACAGCCTTGGAAGAAAGCATTTTGCAACTTATTTAATATCATTTGTCACGACTTGTTCGCTCCAAAATGGTATACCTTCGATGAATATCATTGACTTATAAGCTACTTATTACGTTTTTTAAAAGAGAAAGAAAGAACAGCCACGAAAGATACCCCATTTTGGGGTCAAATACTTAATATTTGGATACAATTGACAATTCGACCTGTGTTTTGATTAGTCTGTTGCTTAAGCAATCCATGTGACATGTTTATGACGCCAGATGACAACCAAATCTTCAATTTTCGTTTTGGTAAAGCTAGATATCAAGTTTTATCAGCTCTTCATCGTATGTATTTGGTTTTGGACCTTCAAATAATTCGGCCTCGAGCACTACTGAAGAAGCCGTTTTTGTCGAAATGCGCATCTGGTGCAGTGAAATTTGTACCGTACATGATATTTTGATTAAAGTCACTTGTAATTTGAATGAATTTCTATATTTAGAAACTACAGATTATACACGAGTTCAAATTCAACCAATCTGTTATACCTTATAAGAGCGATTGAACAATTTTATCAGGTTTGTGAAGTTACTCATGTAGCCTGTTTTGTGGATACGGGTGGGGTTTTTTTTGTGATTTATTGTGTAATGAGTATTAACAGATCACAAATCAGCGTTGTTCAAATTGACTTACATAAAACTTAATTAAGAACTGTGGACTTTATCAGCATGTAAAAACAGACTTTTATTCATATTTCGTCAACATTCGATCTAGATATTGCGATTTTTGGAATATAATTGTGTCACAAAAATTACAATAGGTGTGTCAGTTTTAATATAGTTGAACTTTTGTTTACTAAAGTATAGGTTCGACTTGTTAAATTGAACCCATGATTTAAGAATAAGTTAGACTTGTTACAATGATCCATAACTAAAGTGTAGGTTCGACATGTTACATGGAACCCATGACAAGGGTATATATAGGTAAGACTTGTTACATTGAATCGATGACTGAATATTATAGCTTTGACTTGTTACGTGGCACCCATGACTACAGTATAGGTACGACTTGTTACATTGAACCCATGACTAAAGTATAAGTTCAGCTTGTTACATTGAACCAATGACTAAAGTAAGGTAAGACTTGTTACATTGAATCCATGTCTAAAGTATAAGTTCGACTTGTTACATTGAACCAATGACTAAAGTACAGATTTGGCTTGTTACATTGAATCCATGACTAGAGTATAGGTTCGACTTGTTACATTGAATCCATGACTAGAGTATAAGTTCGACTTGTTACATTGAATCCATGACTAGAGTATAGGTTCGACTTGTTACATTGAATCCATGACTAGAGTATAGGTTCGACTTGTTACATTGAATCCATGACTAGAGTATAAGTTCGACTTGTTACATTGAAACTATGACTAGAGTATAGGTTCGACTTGTTACATTGAATCCATGACTAGAGTATAGGTTCGACTTGTTACATTGATTCCATGACTAAAGTATAGGCTAGACTTGTTACATTGAATCCATATCCAATTAATTTCTAAATAAGTTTGCATTTTGCAATAAGAATGTCAGCTGCAATTTTGTTATCAATTGCCACAGTGGTTTTCGAGGAGCGGAGGTCAATATATGGACCACAAATGTCAAGTGATAGTAATAGCTCACATTTACCCTTTAGAACATTTAAATTATAAATGAACAAATGGCTTAGAGGACGATATATTTTCCAATCTCCAAAAAGCTTAATTTTGCAAATGAATGAGTCCATAGAAAGGATTATGATTTTTCACGGATTTTAACAATTATAAATCAGCGGATGAAACTACTGGACAGGGAATTGCTTACACTGTAAGTCACCTGGGTTTCTACTAAGATTGTGATTGGGGACGCTATGTTCAGTTTTCTTTGTTAGTTTTCTTATTTTTTTCTTTTCTTTTAATGAATGTGGAGTTGTTGATTGTCTTTTTCGACTTGATATTTATCTGCCCGTTTTATTTATCTTTGTTTTGTTCGTCATTGACATACATAAAATACTACGCTTTTTCATTATGCTATATTAATTTTCCATTTATTCTAAACTAAGGTGATGCTATGTTGAACAATAAAGACCAGAGATTAAATCTGACCGGACAACGATTCTCAACCAGAGATCGTGACAATGATATTTTGCCTGATGGGCAGTGTACTTCCTCACGAAGAGGTGGATGGTGGTTCAAGTGGTGTTCCTTTTGCAATCCAAATGGAATATACTTTCCTGAAACTGTATATGGTACTGTTGGTATCTACTGGTATACATGGACAAATTCATTCGATGGCATGCAATCTGTCACCATGAAGGTGAAACGTTGATCCCCAGAAATTAAAATAAAATTTCTACATTTTTGTCTTGATCCTTTGTTTTAAATAAACAGGAACTCCAATTTAAACGTTTCGAAACTCTATACTTTGAACAGATTGTACTTTGTGTTATGTTCGCCCTTATTTCTGTGAAGCTGTTGTTAAAGAGAGGCGAACATTCTAACTCATAAGTCGAAAATAAACTGACAACGCCATGGCACAAAAAGAAAAAGACCAAATTACAAACAACGGTACACAATACACAATATAGAAAACTAAAGACTGAGCAACACGAAATCTACGATGGGATGATTTGAACTTCACCACTTGGAACTCTTGGTTTAAAAGTTTCCTTGTGAGCAGCAACCCTTCATCAAGAAAATCATGATAGGAAATACAAGCCCTTGGAATATCGTATCAACTGGGAGATATATACTCCATATGCAGGCGCTGCTGGAATATTGCTACATCTCTTTTGTTTTCAACCGACTCCATTGTCAATTTCTAGATGTAAATATAGAAATAAGAAGATGTGGTATGATTGCCAATGAAACAACTCTCCACAAGAGACCAAATGACACAGAAATTAACAACTATAGGTCACCGTACGGCCTTCAATAATCTTTGCTCTTTTTTTATAACGCTAACATAGCTCAGTTTTAAAATCTTAAAAACGTCCTATTCATTGACGGTCACTTAATCTCCAATGTGAACACAGCTTGTATTTCAGAAAACTTGACATATGGGACTCTAATTCAATCAACTACAGATGTAGGATATCAATCAGCCTCGATTACATTTATCTCTATAGCAACTGTAAAACGCTAATACACATTCATTAGGTCAATTAATTACATATTACGCAGGCGATCATAGAAAAGAACAGATGTATTCCGAAAAGACAGTAAGTATTTCCGGTATTCAGAAAGACTACAAAAACAACCAATATATATGCGTGAACCCCTGGCATTGAACAGAACAGAAATGAAGACACGAGCTTGTTCAATATCCATAATAAATTAATACAAAATTGCTTGCCATTAATATAAAAGGAAATTAAAATCCTGTGTTTGTCTGCTATCTCGGTTTTTGTCGTTTTTTGGGGGCTTTTTTAGAATGTCTGAGCACAGTGTATGAACTACAAGCTATTGATAAATGTAGTTGTAATAATCTGTAAAAGATTGTTACCATCGAGTTAACTTTAGGGGTCATACACAAGAATGATTTCCTGGATAACAATTTACAGACACACTGCATGAGTGATATTCTTTGTGGTATCCCCCCCCCCCCCTCTCAGGTGCACATTTTCATGTTCCACCTAAAGAAGAATCAATGCAAGTTTCTGGGAATTCCGTCAATTTGTTTTCAAGGAGTTGAGGCAATCTGTAATCATAAGCGAATTTATAGGGTCTAGTTGACTGCAGGCCTAGAGCGTTTTTGGCGACGATAATCTTTACAAATTAGGCGATACGAAAACGTAAAAATATTCATAAGCAAAAAATGGCAAAACTTAGTAACAAATCATTTTTCTTAAACTCAATATCCGTATTCAACGGACACTCGATTGCCAAAAACAGGATTTTTAAATAGCGTACTGGACATGAGCTATACTAGCTGAATTGGCACTGTTATTCCTGATCCCCTCGGTCTGTCACACAATCGTATAAAACAACAAATCAACAACTTTATTATATTTTGGCTAATTACAAAGGACAAGTTATGAAATGAAAAAGTGAGATTTGTTTGAACAAACTAGCATATTGTTATTCTAAACTGTTTCCCAAAATTGATCGCCCTGAAGATCATAAAAAACAGTTTATTAAAATAAAGTATGTCAATAAAGGTTTTGATTTTGTAAATATTGCCGGTATTTTTAACGACCATTCTGTTAAAGAACAAATTCCGGGATATTTTGATAAATTAATACTGAGCTCCCTCTTATTTGTTATATTTACAAGAAATCTACCCGGAAATTTGTGTTTAATTATAGCCAATTGTGTAAAGATGTTAATATCAGTGAAAATACACCTACTTCATGTAATTGCAGTAATTCCGAATACATTTATGGACCCATTTCCCATGTTATAACAGGAGATCTTAACATCGTTCAAGACCGAGAGTTAAAATCATTCCTCAGTAAAGGACCTAAATATCGTCCCCCGTCAATTATTAATTGGAATGAGTGTCGTAATATCATCCACGACTCACTCCATACTTACTGTTTGAAATGGATAAAACGGGAAAAAGCTGACAAAAAATCTTTGGACTCTTTTTTTAAATCAGTAATGAACATAGTTGATATACGTATTCAACATTTTAAAGAACATTTTACTCTTAACAATAACCACAATAAACCTATTTCTCGTATCAAACATAAACTAAAAGAACTAGCCAAGGAATTTGTTTTTGTCCCGGCCGATAAAGCTGCTAATAATATTATTATTGTTTGACGTAAATTTTACATTGAGGTTCTGAAAAAAGAAATCACCAATTCACCAACATTCCAACTGACTCCATTTTCAGAAAACGACATCTGTAACAAACATAAACTTTTAGCTACCGCTTTACAAGCAGAACCAAATACAATGAAAGTCCCAACTATGTATTGGCTTCCGAAGCTACACAAAACACCTTACAAATATAGATTCATTTCGTCTTCAAGCCATTGTTCCACTACTAAATTGTCTATTCTTCTTACCAGTACACTTGGTACAATCAAAAACCTGATAATAAATTGTTCAAATAAGGCCTTCGAAAATAGAGGAATTAATTACTTTTGGAGTGTCAAGAACTCGTTGGAAGTACTTGATAAATTGCATGCATATATTGGTGATTTTGAATCTGTTCAAAGTTTTGATTTTTCTACCCTATATACCACATTGCCTCACATTCTCATTAAGAAAAAAATCACACACCTAATTAAATGGGCATTTAAAAAGTCAGAATGTGAATATATATGTTCAAACTCTTTTAGGTTATTTTTTAGTAGCAATAAACAAAAAAACTATGTCAATTGGACATGCTTTGATACTATATATGCCCTTGAATTTTTACTAGATAACATTTTTGTTCGCTTTGGAGATTCCGTATATCGTCAGGTTATCGGAATTCCAATGGGGACTAACTGTGCACCACTTATTGCGGACCTTTTTTTGTATTGCTATGAGTTACAATTTATGACAAAAATCAGTAAAGACCCATCGAAACAACATCTGATACACAAATTTAATAATACTTTTAGATATTTGGATGATATTTTGGCTCTCAATAATGACGACTTCAGTATGTATACTAAAGAAATTTATCCTGTTGAACTTACTTTAAATAAAGCTAATACTAACAATGACCACTGCCCTTTCCTCGATCTTGATATCTATATCATTAACGGAAAGCTTAATACTAAAATATATGATAAAAGAGATGATTTTTCATTTCCTATCGTTAATTATCCATTTTTAGATGGTGACGTTCCCTTGTCACCATCTTACGGTGTTTATATATCTCAACTTGTACGATTCGCTCGTGTATGTAACAATGTTTTAGATTTTAACGAGAGAAATTTATGTATTACTGAAAAATTATTACACCAGGGTTTTCGATATCACAAACTAGTCAAAACATTTACTAAATTTTATCATCGGTATAAGGACATCATTCGTAAATATAGCTCAACATGCAGACTTCTTATACGTTCAGGTATTTCACATCCAATTTTTTATGGAAATATTCTTTATAAAGCACAAAAATGTCAGTATTCACCTCTGAAACTAACAAAACCTTTAAATAGACTTATTAAGAAGGGATATAGTTACGATACTGTTGTCAGGTCATTAAAGATTGCATATTTTGGCGTTAATATTGATTCACTTATAGGGTCTTTGCATCGGCACTAAACACATTTATTTAAAAACCAGTTGTTGGCATGACACGGGTTATGTTTTTCTCATATATGTTATGATGGTATGATACTAAACCCCTAACGGGAAGGATTGTACCTGATATTCATATGATGAAGACATAATCTTTCAATCAGTTTAATTGAAGTCTGGAGCTGGCATGTCAGTTAACTGCTAGTAGTCTGTTGTTATTTATGTATTATTGTCATTTTGTTTATTTTCTTTGGTTACATCTTCTGACATCAGACTCGGACTTCTCTTGAACTGAATTTTAATGTGCGTATTGTTATGCGTTTACTTTTCTACATTGGCTAGAGGTATAGGGGGAGGGTTGAGATCTCATAAACATGTTTAACCCCGCCGCATTTTTGCGCCTGTCCCAAGTCAGGAGCCTCTAGCCTTTGTTAGTCTTGTATTATTTTTAATTTTAGTTTCTTGTGTACAATTTGGAGTTTAGTATGGCGTTCATTATCACTGAACTAGTATATATATTTGTTTAGGGGCCAGCTGAAGGACGCCTCCGGGTGCGGGAATTTCTCGCTGCATTGAAGACCTGTTGGTGGCCTTCTGCTGTTGTCTGTTCTGTGGTCGGGTTGTTGTCTCTTTGACACATTCCCCATTTCCATTCTCAATTTTATGATTTAAGTATAAAGTTGAGGTTTCAAACTGTTTCTACTCTAAAAGCCTGATTGGAGTCTGCTGCCTTGGGTATAGATATTATTAGTTACATAGTTTGCTTGTGACCTCGAAGCCCATATGGAATTTGCTGACCCCATATATGTCGTATTAGGCCACTAGCACATTATGTAACGAATTTATCTTACCGACTATCTTAACATGTGGTATTTAGACTAGTGGCCTATCAAAGTGATCAAGTCTTCAATACCGTTAGTATTAAGAACGTACTTCCATTAGTCTATACAAAAACAAATGCCAGCAATAACAACTTGTTAGCTTTAAATGTTTTTTATGAATTTATTTCAATCGTTCATCATCAATTTCTTCGTCTGTTGAAACCTTTAAGATTTTTCCTCAACACTGTGTTGTTTTTATAAAGGGACCTAACACCACTACTTACCGTGTATTGAAATAAGCCCCGCCTACTAACCCAATATGGAATATACACGGTCTCCACGCGGTTGCTTTTAA